CTTCTTCATAAGAGCCATAAGCTACATCTTTTTTTCCAGGACTGCCCATCTTTAGATGACTTGTATGATGTTCAGCCATGGCAGATCCTACTTCAACTTGGCAAGAGCCTCCACAAGTTTCTGCTATGGATGTTTCATACTTTTTCTGCTGAAGTATCAGATAAGCTATATAAATATTTAATTTGTAACTTGTTATCTAGGTGTGTTACTATAAAGACTGTAACACAACCTTAGTTATAAAGCTCCTGAAATACTGTGAGCCAGTGCCCAAGAGCAAATGTCCTCTACTTTAATGTAGCTAAACGAGAATTGTGAGAACATTGGCTTTGAGAGTGCAGTTGCTCAAAACCTTCTGTGTTGGTTCTACTTAACAAACTAATGAAAAGGCTCAAAGGAGCATTATGATCTCTCTCTGCAGTACTTTTTCAGAGTTACATCTTCCTCAAACACGAAGGGCTCTTGTGTGTTACATTTATGGGCAATCTTGATTTTAAACAAAACGGGATTCATTCACACTCTCATAGCCATGCACTCATAAGCAAGAACATGCTTGTATCCAGGTAGTCTGACTGGGATTCACTGTGGTGACACAGTGGACAAAGGAATGTACCTGTCATTTGTTACCACATCTGGGCTAGAAGTCAGGTTAAAGGCAATGGGACACAAGCACAGCAGTGATGCATTTACTTACATAACCATTACTTACAACATCAGGAACACTTTTGTTTGAATTCATGGTTTATTGAAAAGTTCTTGAACGCCCCAGAATCATGCTCTGAATGTAGAAATTATGACTAGGGAGACCTTCTAGCTAATTTACTTAACAGGTATTGGCATCTCGTTCCTCCAACCTGCGGCCAGTAAAAGTCACAAGCCAAAAAGTGCGAGCATTTGGTGTTCAGAAGGAAGATGTTAGGCCTTAGAGGAAGAGGTTGGGAGCTTCAAGAGACACTTTACAAGGTTACTTAAAGCTATGTCTGTAAACAGCAGCTTATGTAGATCAGTTATGAAGTCAGACTGGAAATGTAAGAGAATGTGTATCCCACTGAACAGTATTTTGAGAGTCGACTCAGTCATTTTCTCATGACAGTCAGCTCTAAAGGTTTAATGCATTTAAATATTCTAGTTCAGGTAACCTAAGAATTAATCTCCTCTTATAACAATGATCTTTATTTCAAAGTCCCTAAATTTCATTCCTGTATACAAAGAACGTGTTTGTAATACAACAGTATGCAGAAAACGACTCTCCTCAAAATATAGGAAAGATGCATTCAAGTTGAGATCATTATTGATACTAGAATGTCCTTTGTAACTGAGAAATTAGATGCAAGACCCGAAAGGTCACTAAATATGAATGGTGATGCTGTCCAGGTAGAAGTAGGAGAGCAGAAAACAGGATAAGATGGAATCACCTAGTCAGCTGACCCAGAAAGAAGCATATCTGGCAGACAGACTTAGTCCTTTAAAGGGAATGTGACAGAAGGACTTAAGGTGCACACTACAATAGTTATGTGTCTCAGCATCAGATTCCTATCAATATAATGAAATGATAAGATCATTTAAGGTGAAGTTTAAGGCTGAAGGTCTAGGTCACTGACTTTTAAATCCATATTGAAAATCAGAACTGGGTATAAAGCAGGATTACAAACCTCATACTAAAGAGGGACTATGAAAAACACATGAAAGATGGTTAACACCTTAGGTATAGTGTCAAAGTAGGTCAGATTCCAGTCTCAGAGTTAAACTACTCTTTTGCAAAATCTATTACTTGCAGTACTCGACTAGACTCAAGGTTAAATTACTCTTTTTCTGAAATGTGACTCCTGTAATGTGTGGCACATCAAGTAAAAAGTCCCAAAACCCTCAAACCCCAGGAATCATTGTGTGATACTACAGGCAACACAGGGAAGGGACTGCAGCAATTGTGGCTAGCAGATATAGCACCCAGAGCCCTGCAACTAATCTGACATGAGCAGTTTAAGTTGCCAAGAAGCCATGAAGGAAAATAGAATGAAGTGGAATAGCCAGCAATATTCCATTTATACTGCAGATTAAGTTTTCGAATAAACAAATTGGAAGTGCCTGTGCCTTTTGGAAAGCTGACTTGAGGAAGGAAGAATGTAATCTTATGAGAAAAATAATGAAAACATATGGTGCTTAGACACCTTGATGAGTAGGATTTTTCTCTAGTCACTCAAGTTTTAGGAAAAGCAACAGCAGACTGCAGCTGTACAGTGGAAAAGTCCAAGTAATCAAAAGAAAGGCAAGACTCAGCAATAAGAATGAGGCTTGGAGTTGGATTATTGCTGGATTACTAGCTGTTGTAGTCAACCTGTTTACCTCATAGACTCAAAGACAGGTAGTTGACAGCTAGTCCCAGTAAACTGCAATGAAGGTAGCACAGGTTTTCTCACTCCTGAGGATGTTGCCATCATGGTTATTAGCTCAGTCTTCCTTCTAGATTTGTCTTTCTCTCTGGTCACTGCTAGAATATGCCCAGATAGAACCCTGCCTAGATATCCCCAAAACACCCATGTACTGTTCCTACTAGCCAATATTAATGGCAGTTGTTCCAGCATCTGCATCTCCGACCAGACACTTGCTGCATTCTGCCATTATTCACTCACGTTGGTTTCCTCTGTCTGTACTTTAAGTCGCAGCAAATGTAATGCTGTACTTCTGCTAATTAAGCCCAGCAAAGGAAATGACACCAGTAACTCCAATCCCAGTGGCTGGGTTTCTCTCAGTGTGGGTACCCCTGCACCCATGCACAGATATGGTGCGTTCATTCTGTGCTCCGGTGCCCATCAGGCTCTGCGGCTCCTTAATTGCCTCACATGCACAGACAGTGCAGGCTCACACTCCAAATGCTACCAGCCTCATTAGTTCCTTTCACACTTCATTTCTCCATGTGAGGCATTCAGAGGTTTCGCAATCTGCATATCTTCCTTTTAAGATGTCACAGAGCTCTTCTGCAGACCTTTGAGGGATTAACGAGCAAGATGTCTCTATTTTATTAATTAGCTGCTTCTCAGCCGTACTCCATAGCTCTCCACTAGTTCAGCTGCTCAGCTACAGTAATTAGACAACCCACTTTTCAGTCTTCCATAGCATTGCCTTAGAGAGAAAGTTTGTTCCTGAGACTGTGGTACTTTCTGGCAATTATTAGACATCTCCTGAATAACTAATAGAGAAATCCTGCTTTCTGTATTATTCACTGCAGTATTACAGCTCCCCATTCTAGGCTTTGTCTCATGCACTCAGTATGTGCCATCACTGGCACTCGAGCGTCCAGATGTTATCTGAAAGATTCTTTATTTGCATCATTCAGACATAACAGTCATAAAGAATGTATTCACACTCCCTCAGAATCAGAGTTGCAAGTAAAGTGGGTAGTGTTACTTCTTATGCTGCAATACTTCTCAAACAGGAACAAATCAAGCCAACAAACATATGCTATCTGCTTCATGCAGTGGAAGGCTTGCTTGTGTGTCTAAGCCCACAATTTTTCTTAGCTGCCAGTAGCTCATGTAGTCACGGTACCTGACATGCATTAATTTATAGAATATTAAATGGCATTTTTTTAAACTTGCCAGTCAATCATAACTAATATTGTGCAGTGAGTACAAGGGGGAAAAAAATCTCTTAAACTGTGCTTAGTTACTTTACTTGCTAAAATATTTCCTTTAAATATCAAATAGTGTCCATGCCGAACAGCTCTGCATGCAGACCCCATTGTGATCCTACTCCTTGCTATCTTGTCTATTTATCTACATTACCAAGCTACTTATTTAGGCCAACCTATGGCTCCTTTCCTCTCCAAAACCAAGCACACAGATTTAGGAGGACAAGCTGTTTCTAAGTGGAACAAACACACCTTCAACTTAACATTTGAAAGCAGTAAAACAAAATGCCTTTCCCTTCCCAAGAGGCAATGAGAAGCAATGCCATGGTTTGACAGACTGTTATGAGCTGTATGTGCTGTGCACACACTGCTGAGTCAATCCATCCCAGAGTGTGCTGGCAGCAAAGCTGGCCAGATCTGAAGCCCCTGCTGCTTGTCTCCAAATATACCTCCAAAGGCTGTAGCTCAAGAAGGGCCTGGGATGTGCAGTTACCAGGGCCCTTGGTTTTGTTTGGATGAATGAGGTGCCCAGGATTAAGGTCCACCACACGTCACCTACCCCTGTAGCCAGCCATGGTTTGTATCAGTTCCTGCCACTGTATCCCAGATTAAAAGTGGGTTAACCCTGCAAGACGGGGTGACTTTTTCCTTCCATGTGATCAGTAAGGCATTGCAGAATGATGATTATATTACGTCCTCCCTAGTAGAGAAGAACTAACCAATCTACTTATCTATCAGTGTAAGAGAACTTGAACTGTTTGTTCAGTGAGAGTTGAAACACTTTAATAGTATCTTGGTTTTCTAACATGTAGCTTGAAGAACTGCCCCTCGTGTTGCCTTACACACAGACACATGCATCCAGTGTGTTCCATGCAGTTTATGCATTTAATTAGACAGCTGTGAACATGAAGTTTGGATTTTTTCAGCGTCGATGCAAGAGGGAAATGAACATGGAATGTCAGTTATCCACAGAGCTTCCATAATTCAGTAAGACTTTACAGACATGTCAGTCAGAAATAGTGCCATAGTGTGCCAAATATCTGTTCAAAGTATTTTATATGCATTAAACTGTTCCACGAAAAAGAAGTGACTTCACTTGTCTTCACTTCTTAGTTTGGTAGAGTTATGGACTTTGAACTATCCTACACTTAAAACCTCATTCAATCACTCATGCACCGATGTGTTTGCTTAGAGGGATGATGAATAAATTTTCCACTACCAGCTGTCCAAGCTCACTGCTAGCACTTAGTTCACTAAGAGCTAAGCTAACGAAGGTTAACACACCTCTTAAAATTAACTGCAAGAAACAACCCCCACCAATATAAAGCATCTTGCAATTACTTCAGTTATATCTGTCTCTTATTTTGTTTCAGCTGTAGAATTCTGCACCTGGGAATTCTCCCCAGCCCTTAGTCTGTGGAACCAATATTTTCAGGGCAAATAGTATACATCCAAATCCTGAGCACTCAGGTCTATGAAGGTATGTAACACTCTTATTACAAGTAATTGAATGGTCAAACACGAGGAACTAAGATTCTGCCAGCTATTGTCAGTAGATACTATGACAGCAAAAGACAGAGCTCCCTTGGAAAACAGCTCCATAAAATGGAATTAACTCTGTTGAAAACTTAAGACCACTGTAAACCTCCCTGCTTTTCCTCTTGAGATGCCAAGCACGTTGCTCTGACTGCCTGCAGTTTAAACAGATAGTTATTTAGAAACTTGTATAAAACAAAATTCCAAAGCAAACCACTCCAGCAATTCTCTGTGAGCCCTTCGTCATCTGGTGGGAGGCTGCAAGACTAAGGATGACAGGTGTCAGACGGGCTGAGTAACGCCAGGCTGAGGAGTGCTCGGGTGCTCAAGGCATGAAAAGCCCCGTGAAGTGGTGCAGAAAGCAGGAAGGCTCAGATCCAGAAGGATCTCTTTGTGTATTTCAGTCTTTTCTCAGATATCCAAAAAGCCATATAAAGCATGAGTCAAGCATATAGAGAAACATAAAGCTTCAGTTGGCATGCTTCATTTAGGAATGTTGGCAGCTTTCCTTCTCCTCCACTCCACTTAAGGTCCAGGTTCAGCCAATCTGTTAAACACTTTCCTAGCTTCGATGGATGTGAACCTTCAGGACAGATTTAAAGTTAAGCCTGTACTTTACTGCCCTTAGGAAATGCACCTAATCAGGTTCTGTTGCTGGCTGAAACAAGGCCTGACAATAAACATACAATGAAGTCCATAAACTTCATGCAATAAAAAAAAGCATTGAAATGTTCTGAAAGTGAATTAAAAATCCAGCCAGCTCAAGCTCACATCTCATCAAGCATAAAGACAAAATCAGTCATTTTGCAGGCCAAATACTTCTTCTGGCATTAGAGTTCAAATCTCAGGTGAATTAAAGTACTGGTTTAAGGAGGCATTTAAAAAAAAAAAGGCAAATCCAAACAACTTTTTTTTTTTTAATTCAGAATGACAATCTTGGTTGTTAAACACTCTGTTCTGTCATGCAGGCTATATTTCCACAGTAATGAAAGCATGTTGTGCTTTGATGACACAGCTTTTCCCCTGTTCATTTTATCAAGCAGTGAAGAGAAAATAATTGAAAAAGAGAAGGCCTCTGGCCTTCTGAGTGTGTCACACTGTGAGTGTCAATGCAAGGCTGAAGCCTCATGCTCCCAGGCATGCATGGCACTCACCCTGCTGCCAGCACTTTCAGGACATTGATAAACTCTTGATATTGTTTAAAATAGAAACCAAATATTGCTCTTAACAACACACATTAAAAAACCATGCAAAACCCGATTTCTACAAAACTTTACACCGCTGATCAGAAACTTCTATGACAATTAGGCATGGCATATACTTCAGATTCTTCCTAGATCTTCAAACATGAAAGCTACCATGAGCCCTTCATCACTGAGGTTATCTTTGTGGTATGCCATGAAAAAAATCAAACCTCAAGAGACTGTACAGATCTTCAGTCTAAGGTCAGGAGCCAGAATCAGGTATAAGAATGTGAGGTTCAGGATAAAACATCCCAGCTGTGTCCTGTTGAAGGATGATGGGATGATCTGTGCAAATGTCAAATCAAACAGCTCTTACAAAAGTACTTGAGCTTCAGAAAACACTTGCTAATGGTCTTGCAGCTCCTTTGCTAAAAGCCTTTCACTCTTCATTATGCCCAACTCTGAATGCTTCATGCACTACAGAACAGCTGACCCTGTTCCCCCTCTGAATATACTGGAGTTACTAATATGCAGCAGTTCTTTCTCACCAAGATGTGAATGCATTCGTGACTGGCCAGAATACATAGAACCAGGAGGACTTGGGGTTTTCCTAAATCTCAGATTGCAATGAAAGAAAGGAATTTCAGAAATTAACTTTCCCCATATCTTATGATGAGTTTAATACTGTGTTCTGGAAGGCTTATACTCCTGAATCTGATCAAAAGTAGCACTGGGAGGTGGTGGTAATGGTACCCTTTCTGAACAAACAGCACAACAAGGGAATCCAGATCAGAACTTCTAATCATTGTGGTGTTCCAGTGTCATTCTGTACTGGTTAACAGAGTGTCAGAACTCCTTTCCTGACCAATCTCATTTGCAGGCAAAACTCTCACTGTTGCTACAGAAAACACGTAAGCTGGTGAAAGGAGTAAAATAATTGGCAATTACTTTTTACCAAGTTAGCTGAAACATTTGCTTTCCAATTATGATTCAAACATGCTGACAATTCAGTAACATCCAGGAGACAGATAAGGGAGGGTTTCATGAAAGTCCCTTTCCAGGCTGAGTGCATCTTCCCATGTAGCAACTGTTACTGGGGAAGGGCTGGTTTCACCAACAAAGAACTAACTTTCCCTGGTAATAGTGAAGCAGCATCACAGTAGGCTTTGTCCTTTTATTGTTTAATTGCTTTTTGTTGTAGAATGTCAACAACTCCCATTCACACCAATAAATCTAAGGAGATCTTAGGAACAGTACAACAGCTATGGTTTTGGATATTACAGCATTTTGTTGCTGTTCTTGGTAACAGATGTGAAAGTCAGCACAGACAGTAAGGAACTGGCAAAAATCTCAAAGAGCTTCTGCCCAGGAAATAATTTTGACTCACAGTTTTTGTCAAGCTGGTTATCATCCATTAGAGATAATTATCACTATACTGAAGACTGAAATTGAGAAACACAGAACAAAAGAAACTATACTTGTGCTGCGTGTTTGTTCTCCAGACGCATAAGGGGTGCCACGCTTTCAAAGCTGACCAAACAAATTTTGGTATCCAAGCAGTTTTGTTTGGGTGGGGTATTTTTTTCCCTTTAATCCCTATACACACATTATTCTTATGATAAAAATCAGGTACTTAAAAACAGCAAATGCCTGTGTTGATATGTAACATTTATTAATCTACCACATACCTCTCTCTGTATTTGCGCTGCTTTATCTTTTTTTGATATATATAAATTGTGTATCATTAAGAGTTATTTGTATAGCAACTGCCAAAGAAATAATAGGACAAATTTAAACACCCATTCTTCTTTCAACCTCACAGTTCTAAAGTAACCTGGTTAACAGGACTTGAGTCCAGCCAACATTCAAGAGGCCCCCATCTCAGACAGCTTTTGTAAGAAGTGTCACTGGCATGTACATGCCTACATCCTGTCCAGGTCAGTCTATTATCTTTTATGGCTCCCAGTCCCACTTCCTTTTCCCCAGTAACTGTCAGATCCATATTCACTTCACAAAACATAACTGAAAACTTGAGAACACAAATGATGCATTATTCTCAAATATATGAAAATAAGAGAGTGGGCTTTCGATTCATCTGCAGACATCTGCAGAGGATCAAAGTATGTACTCTAAAAGCCTACAGAAAAACAAATAAAAATTCTTACTTGTAGCACCCATTTGGGAATAATTTACTTAAATTCATGCAAACATACAAGACCTGTGCATTTTAATGAACTGAAAAGAGCTGGGTGACCATTTTTAAAATAACAGATTTATTCTAAAGATCCCTCACAAACACCAAACAAAACATATTCTGCAGGATATTCACAGCATGTGAGAGTTCTGAATACTGTATCATTTCACCTGGAAATTCCTTCACCAATCAAAAGTAAAATAGTTTCCTCACCTGCAAATTTAGATTTGCCCAGGAACCTTGATGTTGTAGGGCAGCAGGCTCCCAGAGGGGCATCTGCTTTTAAAGGCTGCAAAAATGCCCTTTGTTAAAAAAAAAAAAAAAAAAGCTTTTATTATACGTAGAGCTCACTTCCCTTCTCAAGAAAAGAGGCAGCTTAACCAAAGCCCCACGGAATTTAAGATGCAGTTAACTCTAAAACAAGAACAGGAGTAAACTCACAGATTCAAAGTAAAGGACTTAGAGGGAGATACAGAGAAATCCCATGGTGAAACTGCTGTCCCTCAAAGCAGTCAGCCACCTTTTTTATCTTCAGTACCAAAATCTTTTGATAAAACCCCAAGCAACTCTCATAATGGCAAAGTGGGAGTTCCTGCATGTTCTTTCTCTGGCCTGACAGAAGCCACCTTGGTCAGAAGAGGATTGAAAAAGAGATCTCTCAGCTTCCTGGGAGGCCTTGTTGGGTCTGTAAATAGCAGAAACCGAATGGAAAACTGCAACATAACATCCATGGTAGAAACAGGTCACAGCCTGGTATGTGCCCTCCCACCACATGTTCTGGAGTTTGGTTAATGGGACACTGTCTGGGAAACATTAGGTACCCAGGAACAGCTGGGAAGCTCATGGGAGAAGGACTCAGTGCTGGAACAAGAAGACACCTGCCTGTACAGTTTGCTCAAAGGCTCACAAGGGACCATATTTGCTAGGGAAACACCACAGTGACCACTCACCCTCCAGCCACTCTCACTGCAGTACCTGGGGAGTTTAGACTTTCCACTCCTTATTTTGAGTTCAGTAACCTCCAATAAATTAATGTCATATAATACACTTTGCAATAGAGAGAAATTTAATTTCTGAATGCAGCTGAAATAAAACTAGTCCTGCTAACTAGTCAAGAGTATTACACAAACTCTGGCCAGCCTGGAGCTAAAGCTATCAACTGGCAAGCTGATGCCAGCATGCTCATTGACCTGTTGTATGACGCCAAACAGGAAACATAATGGTTGAGCTCTTCCTACCTTTCTCTTAACAGAAGCACTTGTTTCACTTTTTCTCCTCTATTTGGCTACTGATTTACCTTTTTTTTTATTTGTAAGAAAGAGTATATTAAGTATCCAAGGATTATTTTGGCCAGTATTTTACAGTTTCCTTTAATAAATAAAACCCTTCACCAACTGTTTTATATCTTCCTTGATCTTCCTTGCCTTAAAATTAGTTTACTTGCACCACTGTTATCAACAGATTAAGATATCTAGTTTTCTTTTCACAGACAATACATTATTCTTTATGTTAAAAAAAGATAAATCTCTGACTTCATTTAATCAAAGCAAAGAGAAAGCTGAACTATCAAGTCAGTTTCTAAGGCATTTACCAGTACTAACTGCAGGTCCTAAGTGATTTCATGTCTTTTTACAATAATATCTCTGGAGATCACAGAGGGCAATTCTTAAAATCACTTTTATTTTTACAGGTATCTTTACTGCAGTTTATTTGTACAGGCACAGCATTTTATAAAGGAACTTGAATAGGATTAAATAGCAAGAGAGACATTTATCCATTATTTCAAGGGAAAGAGAAAAAACAGTAATTGCCTTGAAAAGTTCTGTGACTGATTTCCTTTCTTACATTCTCAGTCCCATTTGGAAGTTCTCCTCCTCATATACCTGGACCCCTCACTGTCAATTGCTTCATAGAGGTCCTTTTTATTCTCTGCTGTTGCGTGCAAATAACCAAGGTAGGCCACGCAGAGGCTAATTGCAATCAGTCCAAATGCCATCACAGGTTTATTCTGAAAAGAAAAAAATGTGGTAAATGGTTTTAGTTGAAACATTTTTAATTAAACTCAAACATGACATTCTTCTGTCTCAGCATAGAAACTGAATAGTAAACTATTTGTGACATCTGCAAAAAATCATCACTGCTTTCTTGCAAACTGAATTTTCCGACAGCAAAAGAAATTGCCTTTGAAAAGATGATTCCTTCTGGAGACAGAACAGCACATTGCCCAGTACTCTGTATTTTGCTGGTTGGAAATGCTGACTGAGCATGAACAAACCAGACAAAACCAATTACTGAAGATCTCTACTGCTTTTAAAAGATCATCTGGATATACGACCAGGATAATGCACTCTGGTCCTGCTTGATTGCAATCCTCAAAACCACATTTTGCATTCTTATTACAAAATCCACGTTTATTCTATTAAATCTATACTTATCATATGCACAAAATTTCACTCATTGCTGGGTTCTGCAAATGGAAATAAAAACCTGAGTATCATCGACTTAATTATAAAAGCAAGATAAAGGAAAATCCAAACTACTGAAAAGCTACCAAAAATCGCCTTATTTCATACCAAGAAAATATGCATTCTATGATTAGTTCCCTTATCAATATTAAAAACTACTCCTGTTGTTTTTATTTCTTAGCAATAAATAAAAATACTATTTAATCTGTCGAATTATATGAGTAATATAACTAAAGTCTTTCTGAAAGCAACTTGGCTAGGTACAAAAGAATCAGACAATATAACAGTGAAATAAAAGCTGCAATAAACAATGTAATGTTCTGTGCTCTCAACAATCAAGAATGGAAAAAAGTAAAAATATTTTTAGTTACATTTCTGAGTGGTTTGCATAACAAGAGATGGTTATATAATGCACAGAGAATTGTAATGATTACTTTAAAGCAAACTTCAAGCATATTTAGTTTCTCTCAGAATGACTGTCTTACAGGTTTAATGAAAAGCTCTGGGTTCACAGCTCGGAAAAGCATAGTTGTCTGAACACTCCTCAGTCCTGGTTTTCTCTCTTTGGGTATTTCATTTTCATTTGGAGGTTTGGTGGAAGACATGTTACTTAATGTTGAATACTTCCTAGAAGTAGAATGAAAAACAGGTGTAATTTCTGTAAAAATACTGAAGAGCTGTCTTCACTGAATGCAAATTCACACTCACTTTGTCTTACAGCATCAATTTTAGCTGGTGTAAATATTACTGATCTCTTCTGGTGTCACCTAACATTCCCAGCTTAGGCACATTGATTTTCAATCTTGTTAATTTTGTGCATCCTAAAATTAACATTTGGAGATTCACATCTTCATGCAGCAAATCTAAATCTCCTGATAATGGGCTTAGGGTTTTACACTTGCCTTTGGCTAACGCTTTAGCTACCTGTGGACCAAATAACATCATTCTTCAGACCACTGTCTAAAAAGACAATCCTAGGAAGAAGGTTTTTTTTAATAAAAACTTCTGCATGACAGGACAGCCCAAGCACCACTGTAGTGCAGCCACTTTAGCCACCCACTCCAGCAGGCCCAGCACTCAGGTCTCACTTTTGCACATACTGGGCACATTGCAAATGCCTTTGGTTCAAACTGAAAGACGGGAAATTTAAGGTGCTTAGAATACGCAAGGAATTCTTTATTCTGGGGGTGGTGAGACACTGGAACAGGTTGCCCAGAGAAGCTGTGGATGCCCCATCATTGCCAGTGCTCAAGGCCAGGCTGGATGGGGCTTATGAACAGCCTGGTCTTGTGGAAGGTGTCCCTGCCTCAGGCAGGGGCGTTGGGGCGAGATGATTTTTAAGGTCCTTTCCAAACCAAACCACCCTATGAGCACCTGAGAAAAGGTGGAAAAACACGCCCTTGGCTACCCCTGGCTACTGAGGGGCAGAGGAAACACTGCGCTGGAGATCCCCCGAGAAAAAAAGGGCAGCGCAAGGGCAGTCGCACAACCCCAGCCCGGGCGGCGAGGAGCTCCTGGCGCCGCCACCGGGAGGAAGGGGGCAGTCTGGCGACAATTTGGAAAAGCCCAACAGGAATTCCCGGGACACTGAGGACCCCCGGCGCCACCGCCTCACGGAAAGCGGCGAGACGCGGGACACGAAAGCCGCGAGTGCCAGCCCGGTCCCCCCCCCGCCCCCACTCACCGCTCGCAGCCGGCGGCTCCTCCCTGCCAGGCGGGGCTGCGCCTGCGCGCTCGCGCCCCCTGCCGGGCGGAGGCCGGCGGCGCGGGCCCGGGAGAGCGGGCCCTGCCTCTCCTGTCCTCCGGGTGGCGGGGGGGCAGCGGGAGGAGCGCCTTCTCCTCCGTCGGGGCCGCGGAGCCGCCTGCCCTCTTCACGGCAGGAAGACACCTTTAAGATCATGCAGTGTGATGAGGCCACACCTTGAGAGCTGTGTCCAGTTCTGGGCCCCTCAGTTTAGGAATGACGTTGAGACGCTTGAGCGCCTCCAGAGGAGGCAACTGGGTGGTGAGGGGCTTGGAACACAAACCCTGTGAGGAATGACTGAGGGAGCTGGGGTTGTTCAGCCTGGAGAAAAGGAGACTCAGGGGTGACCTTATCACGGTCTACAACTTCCTAAAAGATGGCTGTAGTCAGGTGGGGGTCGGTCTCTTTCTCCAGGCAGCAACTGACAGAACAGAGGACACAATCTCAAGCTGTGCCAAGGGACATATAGGTTGGATATTAGGAAGAAGTTTTTTACGGAAAGAATAATAAAGTATTGGAATACTTTACCTGGGGAGGTGGTGAAGTCACCATCTCTGGACGTATTTTAAAGGAGACTGGATGTGGCACTTGGTGCCATGGTTTAGGTGAGGTGTTAGGGCATAGGCTGAACTTGATAATCTTGACGGTCTCTTCCAACCTAGTTATACTGTGATACAGTACAGCTGTCCACCACTGTAACCCATCACTACTAAATCACCCAGATCCATATGCCTCTTGAAGACCTGCAGGGATGGTGACTCCACCACTGCCTGTGGAAATATTTCAATGCCTGACCTCCCTAATAGTGAAAAATATTTTTCTAATCTAAACGTCCCCTCTCTCAGTTCAAGGCCATTCCCTCTAGTTCAGTCACTGCAGACATGGCAGAAGAGACCGGCCCCAAAAACCTTCTTCCAGGGAATTGTGGACAGGGATAAAGGCTGCCTCAGCCTCCTCTTCTTGAGAATAAACAGCCCCAGGTCCCTCAGCTGTTCCTTATAAGACATGTTTTCTAGACCTTTCAAGAGCCTTTTTGCCATTTACTGGCCACACTCCAGCACCTCAAATGTGTTTTCTAAAGTGAAGGCCACAGAAGAGAATGCAGCACTCAAAAGTAGAAAGTGGGAGACGGGGGAAGAAGCTGGGTCAGATGGGCCCTTCAGAGTTGAGCTGCTCCCAGCACCTGGGCATGGACATAGGACTGAAGCCAGTCTTGGCTTCATCCTCTCTGCAGCCTCCCTTCAGATACTGACTGACACTGTTGGGTCCCCCTTTTAGTTATCTCTGCTCAAGACTGAACAGGTCCTGCTCTCTCCACCTTTCCTTGTAAGAGAATGCTGAAATCCCTCAATCATCTTTATTCCCTTCCATTGGACCCACTCCAGGAGCTCCGTGTCTCTGTTGTACTGAGGAGCCAAGAATTGTCTGCTTGATCCCAAGTGCTGGAATGAGGAAGGGGTAATTCATGTGGGGTTGGTCTCTGGCAGTACAGTTGGCTGAGCAGAAAAATATGCTGCAATTTAAGTGTCCGACTTCTGTTGTGTAGATCCAAACCCAAGATTTTGGGTGTCTAGAAACTCCTGGTAATGTAAATGCTGCTGTGTGGTGGTGTTTTGTTTCCTTGTATTTGTAAACAGTAAAATTATTAAAATTGCTTGAAGTTCAGAGGAAACAAAGCCCATGTGGTTGCCTCTAACTGCTTGTGCCTCCCTTTCTACCTTCACCAACTTCAATGCCACCAGGCAGTTTCAGCTGCATTATGAAGTCGGGGAGAAATTCGAACTTTTGGAAAAAACAATACCTGGAGGGTAGGAAGGAACACAGATCAGTGCTCTCTTAGGTAATTGGCAGGCAGAACTGAGATGTGGTGGATAGTATTACAGTTTTAGCAGCAGTGAGCTGCTGGATTAGCACATGTAGCTCTGGACTCACCAGCCCCTGCTCACACTTTCCTGTACCTGGAGGGTGAGTGAGAGGACTTTGGTGGAGTGTCTGTCATTGCAGCCAGGGAGGCAGAAGGAAACAAACATAAGTCTTGGCCAACAGTGGCTGAACACAAGCTGGCAGTGTGCCCAAGTGGGCGAGAAACCCAGTGGCATCTTGGCTTGGATCAGCAATAGTGTGGCCAGCAGGACCAGGCCAGTGATTGTTCCCCTGTGCTCGGCACTGGTAAGGCCACACCTCAATTGCCACATCCAGTGCTGGGCCCCTCCCTACAAGAAAGACACTGAGGTGCTGGCACGTGTCCAGAGAAGGACAACAAAGCTGCTGAAGGGTCTGGAGCGCAAGTCCCATGAGGAGACACTGGAGAAACTGGGTTTTTTCAACCTGGAGAAAAGGTGGCTCAGGGGGAACCTTATTGTCCTGTACAACTACCTGAAAGGAGGTTGTAGTGAGTTAAGGGTTGATCTCTTCAGTAACAACTGACAAGACAAGAGGATATGCTCTCACGTTGCACCACGGAGGTTTAGATTGGACATTAGGAAAAATTTCTTCACTGAGAAGGTAGTCTGGCATTGGAACAAGCTGCCCAGGAATGGCTCAAAAGAGTGTGGATGTGGCAGTTGTGGGTATGGTTTAGTGGTGAAAACAGTGATTCTAGGTGTACAGTGGGACTTGATAATCTTAGAAGTCATTTCCAACCTTAATGATTCTGTAATTATATGAAATGTAGAGGTATCCAGGTTCACAAAGCTTCCTATTCCATGTTTTTTTTCTGCAGTAATCAAACTGCCTTTTCTTTTTTTTTTTTTTTTTTAAGATAGCAGAGTAATAATAAATTGCAGGTTAACTTTTCATGTCTGAATTCAGATGGAGTATCTTTTTTTTTTTCTTGTTGTGAGCAAATATAATGAGGTGAGAAAAATAATAGGGAAATAAGTTTAGGTGTCAAGAGTGGATTGAGTAGTATGTCTGGGGTTTGTGTCAACAATTAATTCACAACATACCATCTGCTAATCTGGTAGCTATTGTTTTGGTGGCATATGCCACACAACTGATTTTGTTTGGAAACTATTGAGTAGAAAATCTGAGTGAAGCTGCTTTTGTTTGTTTTCGTGTTTGTCTAATTGAAAGAAGCCAATGCGAGGTTTTTGCAACAGCTTGGTTTTTGGGAAGGTAGCTTGGTTTTCTTGAGGGGAAGGGGGATTTTTTACTGTAATATAGGAGATGTTCTGCATACAGTTCCCAAGCAATTCTTTCCCCCACATTTTGGAAGCTGAAAGAATTACATCAACAGAGAGAAAGTGCACTCACTTATTGGCCCACACCCCCCTTCCCAGCAGTTACACTGCCCATCCCATGCAGATATAACTTCTGATCCAAAGTCAGCCAGGGTCATGATAGTTTTTTCCAGATTGTAGGATGGGTTTATGCCAGAACACATTTGCAATATATTGGTGGCAGGGATTCTTAGGTTGTTGCTAGTTCTCTGGTATTTCCCATCTTTCTTATAAAGGACAGGTAAGTCCCAGGCATCATTGACAGGGTATGATCCTACACTGTATACAGAACACTGGCTGAAAATATTCTCCATATGAAGAGCTGCAGGATAAGGCTCTGTGTGTAAAAAGAGAAGCAGAGAGATATAGAAATGAGCTTAGGCTTTGATATGAATGTTGGTACTTGGCACATGTTAAGCGTGTGCCAACTAACCAGATTAAATGTGCAGTGATGAAAAGCTTGGACTGCTTACTGTTTCTAGTTTCGCTTTATGTCTGTGGGAAAGTGTTGTATTATATCTTTAATGTGAATATTACGTTGCTATCATCTGACACAACAGGATGTTGAAACATTCAATCCATTAAGGCTTATGAACTTGTTTGGCATACTTTATAGGAGAGACTCTATAAAGTGTAGAATAGTAAACATTTGTGGTATTTCTGAGTCACCCATCCTCTTAATATCGGACTATCTCTCCTGAAAATAAATCACACAAAAACCCTTTCCTTTTCTAAACCTGAGGCTGTTACTGAGATTTATTTTCCTTTCAACTAAATTCCTTTGGGGTTCCGCATTCAGTATTGTGCCTTGTGCCATAGCCATTCACAACCTAACAGCAATTTCTGCTTTTCTTGAGGCTCACATGCCCTTATCATTTGAGCTGCGGAAGAGGCTCTGTAGAGAGCAGAGCAAAGCCGGTGCTGTGCCCCGCAGACATGGTTAGCATGCGACAGCCAGCCTGCTGCAGTCCGGGGAGCAGCACCGTGCCTCCTGCCTTTGCTGACTGACCTCACAGCTCCTGCTTATTGCAAGTACTGCACGAGAACAGAGCTTCACATTGTCTTCAGAATAAAGATACGATGCCTCAAGCTACTGATAAGCTTATCCTTGCTTTAGAGACACGGTTACAGAGCTGTTGTGGGCAGAAAAAAAGATTTTTTTGCATCTACACTGGGAGTTCGGCACTGGTATGACTTGTAGTGAGAGGGACAACTATCATCACATGTTTGTTAGAGTTTTGATATGG